TAAGTGTTGCGACTAAGCTGCGTCGCTACTAAAACTGTATTATAAGTGGTGACTATCAAGGTCGCCTCAAATATATTACTGTCGCCGTAACACTTTTTGATTTGACTAAGATTTAAATCTGAATTGGATTAGATTAACTTAATATTTTAGAATTAATATTTAGATATTTAAATTGCAATCTTCTCAATGTAATATGATGAAAACATTATTTTAAAAGACTGTTCAAAGTTTACATAATTTGAATCTCAAAAATAAAAAATATCATATAAATTGAAACGGAGGGAATGATTTTTTAAAGGGAAACTACCAGCTACTTTCATTTATAAGTAGTTTATTATAAAAATTGGCCACATAATAAAATATTACTAATATTAGCCAAATATTATCAATATTAGCCAATTAGCTAAAGGTCAAACTTTTATTTTTTTTGAGTGGGTATTATTAGAATAGATTGGGTACATCTTAAGAAGCTTGATCTAAGTTTTGGGATAATTTAGTAGAGTTTTGAGGTGGTTTGAATTAAAAATTCGAATTAGAAGATGAACATGAAAAAAATGATATGTGTATCATTTGTGTATCACATATGTACCATATTTGTATCATATGTATATCCGTGTATACCTGTGTGTGATATACATGCATGATACATGTTTGATACATGTATCGCAGAAGAATTTTTTGGACTCGATTTTAACTACGAATTTTGATACCAAATCATCTCTAATCTTCCTCAAATTTTGTAGATTGACTCATTTACATATTTTAATAAATTTCAACCATGCCATTAAAAAGGTCCTTGTTTTGCTAGGTTTTTGGAATCTTGTATATATATAATTTTTTTATATTTCATCACCTTATTATTACCTCATCCGTGAAATTTTCTTTCCGTCTTGCATCTAATGTTTCTAATCACACATAAAAATATGGAAGGAGATCTTTGCGTGTGATTCTTAGAGAGAAAGAATCTTATTTATTTGAATTTTTAATTTTTATATGTGCTTGGCTAGTTTTGTTAAGTTTATGATTAATGGCTAGAGGTTGATAAGTTAGAAACTTGTTTGGGATATTTTTGTAAGATTCCTTTTCTAAATCCTATATATTGGGCTACTGATGGTGTCGCCATTAAAAACCTCATTTCTTGTGGTGTACAATCTACTATATCGTGTAGGTATCAGATTGATTATGTGATTTATTTAGTCCAATGTCTTTTACTTGACATTACTTGATACAGTGTGTGTATCACACTGTGTATCATTTGTGTATAACATATGTATCATATTTGTATCAAATGTATATTTATGTATATCTGTGTATGAGATACATGCGTGATACATGTTTGATACATGTAGCGCAGAAGAATTTTTTGGACTCGATTTTAACTACGAATTTTGATACCAAATCATGTCCGATCTTCCTCAAATTTTGCAGATTGACTCATCTATATGTTGTCAATGAATTTCAACCATACCCATTGAAAAAGGTCATTTTTTGCTTAGATTTTTGGAATCTTGTATATATATAATTTATTTGTATTTCATCACCTTATTACTACCTCATCCATGAAATTTTCTTTCCGTCTAGCATCTAATGTTGCTAATCACTCTTAAAAACATGGAAGAAGATATTTGCGTATGATTTTTGATTAAAGAAAGAACCCTATTTATTTGAATTTTCAATTTTTATATGTTCTTGACTAGTTTTGGTAAGTCTATGATTAATGACCATAGATTGATAAGTTGGGATTTATTTGGAACATTTTTGTAAGATTCCTTTTGCTAAATCCTATCTATGGGGGGACTGATGGTGTCGCCACTAAAAACCTCATTTCTTGTGGTGTACAATCTATTATATCGAGCAGGTATCATATTGATTATATTAGTCCAATGTCTTTTACTTGACACGAGACCATTTTAAGAACAAATTTCCAAAAGCATATTATACAAAGTGATGTACATTACTAGCAAGATGCATTAGTACTCTTGTTGTATTCATTCAAGTTCGAAAAATTCATCATCATTTTCTCAGGTTACATTGATTCATATAGAGCTCCATATAATTAATTTGATAACGAGAATTTAAGTTTTGTGCCTGTGCCATTTGAGTGCTTCGGATATTGTGCTTTAGGCAATTCAAATCTTTCAGAGACTCAATTTGCGGGCAAATCAAATACTGAAATGTGATTGAATCAAATATATGATTTTATGTTTCCTTGAAACCATTGAAATATTCGTGAAAGACCACCAAGAGTTATGATCGGATGGATGTGATTTTTCCACCCTTAACTAGAAGTCTCAAGTTCAAACTTTTGAAATATGAAAAAATATGTAGGAAGCGTGTTGGTGTCCCATATCGGTGTGGCTTGGAGCAATGTACTTCCATATATGATCTTGGGCAATCTTACCTTATGAACTAGCTTTTGAAATTTAGTTCGGCTCAAGATCCATTTCTTTATCATGGTATCAGAGCTATACTCATTCCAATTCATTGTTTAACCGATGTGCATCCCAATTTATTGTTTAATGAGCCTTACGCAAATCAAATTTTTCACGCAGGTGAAAGAATTATACAGAGGAAATTTCTAATATATATATGCCGTAAAAGTCTTTGCATTTATTGCAAACGAAAATCTTAGCTCCATCATTTGATCATCTTTCATGTATGTATATTAACTATCATCTATTTCTTTTGGAGAAAAAAAATAAAAAATAAAAATCAAACTCGAGCTTGGAAGCATGAGAGAACTAACATGTTATTTTTTTTAAAAAAAAAGACATGAAACAACTCCTCTAATTATGCTTTGTGTGTTCAGGTAAAATCGGGGATAAAATTATCTCTCATTTCCCAGTAAAGACACGAGAGAAAAGCACGATATGACATGGCCTCAAGTAAAGCCAAGGGATTCCATGTATTAGAGCCGGGAGGACGAATGGTGCACCCAGGACCGGACACGGCCGAACATTGGGCTCGAGCAGAGTGAGGAGCCGAGACTAAGAGAAAAGACGGTTAGACGAGATAAGCAAGGGGTACAGAGGATGCAAGCGTCCTCCTTATGGGGTCAAATCAATACGTTCTAAGAAAAAAGATTGGAATATTAATCTCATCGAGATCATCGATCTCATACCAAATCCCATCAATCGAATCACTCAATGAAGCAACAACTGGTACCATAGAGAAGCGGAAATACCCATGGATTCAGTGTTTGCTTACTGGCCGTCCACACTAACAATCTATCATTCCCCTCCAAAAGGGGATTTTAGTAAATAACCAAATATGATACTCGGGCCCAGTTGCTTCCCGTGGATTTTCATAACCCTCTTGTGGAGCAGGCTACCATGAGACAAAATATCTTCTTTCTAAACCAGAATAAATAGAGTTTTCCGAAAAAACCCATCACTACAAGAAAATGGACCTTTAGCGAGGGGAAATCTGGTCGTTAAAAGTTCAATTCTGGTCGTTATAAGATGATAACGACCGGAAAAAATTCGATCGTCACCGCTCGTTAAAAGTTCCGACGTTAAAAGTTAACGACCGGTTTACATTCTGATCGTTAAAGGTTCTTTAGAGACGACATAATTTTTGATCGTTTTACATACTTTTTAGCGACATGATTTTCCCCTCGCTAATTTGTTATCCGGTCGCTAAAAGTCTTTAATGACAACAATTGTAGTAAGTCAATTCGAGTGCTTTTAGCGACCAATATTTCCGTCATTAATTGTATAATTATTTTTAACAACCAATATTCTCATCGTTAATAGTCATTTCTCTATTTGAGAAACCTGTCGTTAAAGAGTTTTAATGACCACATTTTTCTTCGCTAATATGAAAATGTAATAAATATAATTAAGAAAATTTAAATTACATGAATAGTAATAATTATTTATATGCATTCATACACACTCAACAACATTGGAAAATTAACCAAATACTTGATATCTTGTTAATACAAAGAACTAAAGCATAATTATTAATAATTCCTAAAAACAAAAAAAGTAAAATTGCAGCATATATATGTACATAAGACAGTGTCTTTAAACCATCGCTGACGAACCAAAACCTCTTGTACTTCAACTTGCTCTACACTTTCTTCAAGGATAGGTTATTCGCACTTCAAATTTTTGATCTGATAAAATAACAAATTTATGCCAGTTTAGTAACAAAGAATAAACAACTAAAGAAGAACGATCGGATCCATTAAAGGCTACACTGATGGCTATAAACGAGAAAGTGGAAAAAATACTAATATAATATGACATTACAGTAGATAGTATTGTAGCACGAATACGACACATTAAATTTCTTATATCTGTAGATGATCATCATAAGACACTAAATGATAGTTCTACACCACCCAATCTTGTCACACTAAAACCTGCACAAAGAGTGTGACTTTTGGGAAGAAAATCTCATTCGGGGGTGTTTGGTACTTCGGTTCGGTATTTAAGAATTTCAGAAATAATGTAGCAGAAGCGAGAGCTATTCTTGTGGAACTGGAAAGGTATTCTACTAATGGATTACATCATGTGATCGTTGAATCAGATTCAATGATGATCACTGACATGATAAATGGGAAGGTTAATGTTACTTGGCAGGTAATATGGGTGCCAGTCATATTCTTGGAAAATAAAGGCTAATAATAAGACATGATTTGTACTAATTTTGCATCTTTGAGAGAAACTATGTTGGGAGGAGACTAAAAGGCAGATAGAATTGGAGGAAAAGTCCTATCCTTAAGCTAACCTATCATGGACTTTGAACAAATGCCATGCAGCTAATTGAGGTAATAGCAGAACAAGAGTGAAAGTTGTCCACTACTGTTTTCAAATAAGCGCTCGAAAAGAGTTAAATTGATCTGTCCAATCCCTCCTTTAAAAGAAGCTATCTACATCTATTCTATAAAATGATAAATCATGTCACTTCCACAGTCTCATATATACCGTCGACAGTCTCTCATATATATACAGTCGACATGCAACAGAACAGTTATTTCGCGTTTATCTATATGTACATTCAGAGACGGATTCAAGATTTCAATTCTATGGGTTCAACTTTTAAGGGTTTTTTTTTAAAGAAAGATTCAACCTTTAAGGTTCTTAGCATTGAACCCATCATATTTTTATAAATGGGTTCATATCTATTATATCTTGTAACTTTAGTGAATTTTTACACATAAATTTATGCTCCGCAAAAAAGTACCGGATTCAGATGAAACTGGTACCCTATAACATCCGCCCCTATCTATACTACAAAATACCAACCCTGTATTTCCCATAGTCACTCTGCCAGTTTGGGAGTGCGGCTGCTTCTCGGAAAGTACTTTTTTATGTGCTTTAAAAAATGTAATTTTAATAGTTCTATTAATCACTACAATAAGTATTTGGTGCAATTAGCTTATAGCATTTAAAGTTTTTGCTGTTACAAAATAACCGTAAGTACACATTTTTTATGCTTCAATTTGATAACAAATGCAAATTGCCTTTTGGAACCAACAACCAATTCACCAAAGAACAACTGAATTTTGAGCTTTGGGTAGCCAAACTGGTTGAGAAAAACTAATTTTTGGGGAAAACCCATCAGCTCTAGAAACCCAAAAACTTGATATTAAACAAAAAAAGAACACTTAATTACTTAAGTAACATAACTTGTTCAGCTTTACTTACAATTTTTGGCTGACAATTCAATAGTAATATCTGATATTTTAACCCATAAGCTTGCGAACAAAACAAAATTACAAAGAAAAACCCAACAAAGTGAAAGTATAGGAAAGCAATAAGCCATGAACGTACCTGAAGTGTTTCTTGTGGCGTTCTGGTTTGAGTATTTGGAATTGATTTCGGACTTGAAAGACAGAGAAGAGGGATTATTTGGGGGCCAAACTATGAATATAAGGATTAACGAGATTGGTTTCTATAAAATTCTAGTACATGTAATTATTAAAAAAATCAATATCTAAAAAACAAAGAGACAATTGAAATATAAGAAAGTGTACAATTTCGTAATAGTACCGCAAGATTAGAGCTTACCTTATGGGTATTTAACGGGCGAGCTGGGACGGGTTGGACACAAAAAAAATCAGCCCGTCCGTTTAACGTTGCGGGCTGTTAGCGGGCTGTACTTTTTCGGGTTTTTTTTTGTCCGTCCGGGTTCGGGCTTAGCGGGTTATTAGTGGGCCGTGAATTTTTTTTTTTAAGTAAATTTTGTTTTTCTTATTCAATATTATTGATACTTAAGTGTTTGCAAACTTTTAAGACTTAGAATTAAACTTTGAAGTTTAAAATTTGAAATTTATAATTTTAAAATTGAAATTTGAAAGTAAGTGGCTACAAAAAATTATTTAATAAGACCAATAGGCAATATATAACGATCAAGCTCCGAAAACTTTCATTTTGATATTTTTATTGAATAATATATAATACTTCAAATTAAGTTACAAGTTCTTTTTTGATTTTGTTATTTTTGAACTTGCAAATTAAAAGTTTACAACAATTATAAAAAAATAAATAGTACATCACATGCTTTGCATCATTTTTATAAGTTCATCCATGTCAACATGAGATTCTTGGTTTCCGGCATTGGTTGAATCATAACCATAAACCATTATATCTTCAATTTTTTGGTCATCCGCTTCATCTACCTCGTCACGCCCTTGATTTCATTGTTCTGATCTTATCCAATCTCTGAAGCACACTAGAATTTCTAAAGCGTTGCTACCCAACGAATGGCGGGTATCTCCTTGTTGCTGCCTTGCTTGGCTAAATGCTCTCTCTGATGCGACTGTTAAAATCGGTACATTTAGCACGTCTCGAGCCATGGCCGAAAGAACAGGAAATTGATTTGAGTTGCTCCTCCACCAATCCAGTGGTAGAAATTCCTTTGTGCGAGGCTCTGCTGACTTTTGCAAGTAAAATTGAAGTTCATCAATATTCCTGTTACTGGTTTGTTGATGCTCCCCTATTGTAGACCAAATCAAATAATCTTCAACACCATCATTATCATCCAAAGCACTGGTCCCAGATGTTGAAACTGAACTTGAAGGAATATTTGCATCTACAGCAAAAGAAGCATCAACAATGTTAGCATAATAATTATATAATGTTTCTAAATATTTGTGTAGATCAGAAATACAAGTGTCAATATCAAGAGTTTGAGTTGGTCCAATATCCATATAAGAATATAAAGCAGTGATTAATTGGCGACAAGTGGCCATTTTGATAGAAGTGTTTAAAATAGCACCAATTAAGTAAATATGGGGAATTGGGTAAAAATATTTTTTAAACTTATCTAGCATAGATTCAACAACAGAAGTATATCCTTCTTTCTTCTTCAAATTATGTAGTAAAAGAGAAATTTCAGCAATATGAACTAAACCATTTGTAATAGTAGGATAATAAGCTCCAGAAAACTCAAGTGTAGCCACATAAAATTTTTGTAAAAACTTTACAACATCTTCAATGGCATCCCAAGTTCTAGATGTTAACAAACGGCTAGGATCGGTAGAATGAGAATTAGCAGTTTCAGTTATAGGCATTCTATATTTATAACAATATTTTAAGAATAAATAAGTATAATTCCACATAGTAACTATTTCTTCAGGCATGAGTCTTGGTTTTAGTCCATAGTGTACATATTTTTCTTTAAATGCATTTAATCTAGCACTTCTATTATTTTCTTGAATTACACCAACAACTCTTCTAACTAAAGTGATATCATCTCTAAATAATTCAAGGCCACTCTTCACAATCAAATTATAAATATGACATGCACATCTAACATGAAATATTTCAGGAAGTGGTGGGTGTAGATGCAATTTTAATATTGTAATAGCAGCATTGTTGTTAGAAGCATTATCAAATGACACACACAACTTTTTCTGCAAGATTATAAAATATAGCAACTTTATGGATAGTATTACTTATAAATGCACCAGTATGACTTTGATCTTCATNACACACAAAACTTTTTCTGCAAGATTATAAAATATAGCAACTTCATGGATAGTATTACTTATAAATGCACCAGTATGACTTTGATCTTCATCATATTTAAAAGCAATAATACGTTTTTGAATACAAAAATTACCATCTATCCAATGGCATGTAACAGTCAAATAATCATTACCATTTACAGCACGACCAATATCAGAAGTAAGAAAACTTTTACAAGAAAGACTGGCTAACAAATAACGTATATATGCCTGATATTGTCCAAAAAGCCTAAAGATATCAGCTCTACAAGTACTTCTAGGAATACCTTTAAACAAAGGGTTATAAATTCTTTGAATATAAGTAACAAGATATGGTGAAGCAGCAAAACAAAAAGGTAAACAACCTAAAACAATCATTTTAGCTAATTCTTCCCGATCTTTCTTAATATCGTATTTACCCATTAATACTCCAGTACCCGGGTTAAGTTTTGGTTGCTCATCTTCCTCATCTACTCCCCAATCAAGAGGGTGATTGTCTACCATGTGCCTACGAAGTTGACCCGTTCCCCCTCCCTTACCGGTCTCATGTTTATAAATATCCTTACAAATTCTACATCTTACATAATTTTTATCTTCTTCTAGTCTGTCAAAAAAATTCCAACACTTACTTCTTAATCTTTGATTATTCTTAATAGGGAGGTGAGGCCTACTTGTATTACCACGACTTCCACCCCTAATATCTTGAGTTTGACTAGCATTACCAGGTGTAGCTGGTGGTATTTCAAGATTATCAAGTGATGGAAATGGAATATCATCTAAATTATCATCTAAATCATTATCTATACCATAATTTTCTTGAAGTCCCTCATAATCTACATTTAAATTTTTACGTGAACTTTCAGAAATATGTGTAAAGCTACTAGAAGAACAAGCACCATCTCTTGATCTTTTGAAAGTTTTCTTACTACCACCTCTACTAGTGCACGCTTTTTTGGCTGCTCTAAATATATCCATTATGCAAATTAAATTAATAATTGTAAATAATAAAATAAATGTATACCAAAGAAGAGAAAGATATAGAACGAGTGTACCGAGATTCCGGATGCCGCACTAAATTTGATATCAAAAATCAAACTTCAATTAAGAACAATAATCAATAATATCAAGAGAGAATTAGAGTAGTATGAGAGTGAATTTTGAGGAAAAATGAAGAAGAAGGGGTCTATTTATAGTTTTTAAAAGGTTAAAATTATAATTTATCAAATACTATGGGTGTGGGGGCTATTTTCGTAAGGGGGTAGGCCGAAATGGCCATTTCTGCAAAAACGGGCCGTTGAAAAAAAATAATAAAAACAAACATTAAAAATCGGGCTGAACCGGGCTGTAGCCCGTTAATAACCCGTTAACGGATTAACGGGCTTAGAGGATTCCGGTGCACCGGTATCAAAAAATTATTCGTTTGAAACCCGTTCCCCGCCCAACCCGTCCCAGCCCGCCCCCCACGCTATAGTACCGGGCTGACCCGAGTTGAACAGGGCTGAACTGGGTTATAAACGGGTCAGCCCAGCCCGATTAACAGGTATAGCTTACCTTGAGAATAAGAAGAATGATACCCTAGGTTGCAGAGAGGAACACAAGGCCTGATGCTTTACGGAGTTCAACTGAATATAAAAAAAAAGTGGGTTGAGAAAATTATGGGTTGGGCAAAAAAAAGGAAAAGTGACGTGAGTGGGCTGATTGTGAGTTGGCAAAAGATAGGGAAAAGGTAGCGTTATTATTAATTTTTTTTTAACGACCGAATTTATGACTTTTAAGGACCGAATATTATCCCTTTGTTAATATTAAACTAAAAATTACCTTTAACGACAGGAAAAAAAATGTGATCACTATTGATACACCTATAACGACTGAATTCATATCCCTTCGTTAAAAATGGTTGTTAAAAGTCAAAATTCTTGTAGTGACCCCTGAGAGAAATAAATGAATTCCAAAGATTTTTGGCAAATCCATCGATTTTGTCCGGATTTCACCTTTCTTCCGAAAAAAGGGAAGGAGAAGGATAAAGATCTTATTCAGTGGATCCCTCTTGTTCCTGTTTAGTCCCCTCCATTTCGAGTGGAGAGGGGGAGTGGCCTGCAGCTTAGAGGATTAGAGCATGTGGCTACGAACCACGGTGTCGGGGGTTTGCATCCCTCCTCGCCCCCAACTGGCCCAAAAGTATGGAATGGGTTACTTCAGTGCCGTAGCTCCTGGTATTCAAACATTGGCTCGGCTTTTGCTAATTCGAATTGAAGTGTGATATAAAATCGGTCTATTTCCAACATCATATCCATAGTTAGGCCATGTTCATGTATCTCAATTGAAATCCCCGTATTTCTAGTCCATTATATTTTCTTTTGGTAGTTCGATTAATTTCACCTGTTTCAGCCTGGGCTTTATAAATTACTTCGGCAGTGGCTCTATTTTATTATATTCCATCCTGCGTTTCTACAGTCCCATATTTAATAATGCCTGAACTCTTTCTTCTGTATCGAGGATAATTGAAATAAACAAGAATACTATTTCGACGGAAAATACCATTTATGGGGATTTCAATCGAGATACCTGAACAGGGCATTAGTTCATTCTTGAGGAGGTTCGAATTAACTGATGTTGAAGAATCAGCAGATGAGTTGTGGTTAGGGGTGAAATGCCACTCGAACCCAGAGGCTCACACATGTTCTGCAGTACCCCCCGTGAATACTCTTCTGGTATGAAAAGTTACTACTATTTCAGATTCGTCATGGTATGGGATTATTTCGACTACAAGATCAAACCAGATTATAGTTTGGCCGAAGGCTTCCAAACACACCGTAAGCTAAATCGGTGCTGATAATATGAAAATGAAAAAATAATATCTGCCCTCAACCAGATATTACGGTGCAAATCTCGCCTGATATCAACTGCGTATCAATGTTTACTGTAAGAAAGATTTTTTACCTTATTTAGATTT